TGGAATATAGGGAATGAATGTGTACACAAAATAATCATCATCGTCAGAGATTTTCTTCGAGAAAAGACCTAAATCAAACAACCTTAGGTTAAAAACGACATTCATATTGATCCAATAACATTACAAATAATTATTTGGCGGAATTAACATAGATATCACAAGCCAATCGATTTTTTGGCAAGCTTCCAGCAAATTTTTTAAAGCCCAGTCTATTCAGTAAGGAAATTAATATATTTGTTGACTACCAGTCCAGATTGGTCAGTTGCCAAGTTTGAAAATAAGACGAGGACGACGGTTGGCATTTAACATCACCTTTAGTCTAATTACTTTTTAAAAGCACTTGAAAATCTCGCAATCTCTTTTATGGTTAATTAGTTATAATTACCCTGTCTGTTGTATTTTTCCCATTCAACAATTCAATATATTTCACTATCAGTTAACTTTATTCTAAAAGTTGAATAATCATGATTGGGGAAAAAGTTGTATTGTGCTTAAGTAAAGGTAGATAGGGTTGGCATTTTTTCCGTGAAATATTTGTAAAATGCCCCACTAGTATCTAATAATGAGCAATTATTGTTGTTTTTTGGTGAATAATTTCATAGGGCTTTTGCCACTTTATATTTTTCTGAAAATTTAATAGGCTTTTGGTCATTCGAGGTGGTTTTGGATTAAAGACCATTTTTTATAAGATATCTGTCAACTTGATTGAATTGTTGTTGAAAATTTGATTATGTTTCACCTATCTAATCTCACAGAGAAAAAAAACACACCTATCTAATCAATATGCCTGTTATATGTGGGGCATGTATGTAAAAGTAAAGGTTGCCAGAACTACAACAAAAACTCCAAGATGTATTATTCTTTCTAACATTTTAATCAAGAAAATAAAACTGATCAAATAACAAAATTGTTAATGTAACAAGTAGATAAAAGGCAAAAAAAAAGCAAAAATAAATACAAGTAAAACAATACATGTAAATATGTATGTTTTTGTTTTACGCTTTAAAAATAAAAAGGCTGGTCAGCTAAGCTATGTATTCTAAACTTCATCTCATTTAAAAGTTTGTTTTTTTCAACAATTTATGTTCATTTTAATGGAAAACATATTTTTTTATTGCAGAAGTGTATATAATAAATGACTGCAATATTGTGTCAGTCAAATAACTGGACACAGACACTGGTGACACCTGATACCTGTGGTCTTGAAATTTATCTCATTAAAAATAATTTTATTCTATCAACTATTAATGTTAATTGTTATCAAAAACATTTTTATAGCAGTATGGTACATAATAAATGACCTCAAAATTCTAGATTGAACAAATAACTGGACTTGTATTTTTGTGTGCCTTACAAGCAATTAAAAAAAAGATAAATGCAAATTTGATTTAACAAAAACAATACAATAAAGATTTTATAAATCTAACAAGTAAGCATGAATCATATAAATTTTAAAACAAACATGGAGTTACTGTAACATAGCTAACTTCATTGTGATAATAATATAAAATCAAATGTTTATATAACAAACAAAAATCATACCTTTGTGAGTGATGTCATAGTGTTGATCAAAATATAACTTCATAGAATTAATGTAAAAACATCAGCAAAATTCATTGGAGAATAATATTTAGTTAAACTGAGATATTGGCTTAAAACAAACTAAAATTGCTTCAAGAAATTGGCCAAGAAAACAAAACAAAACTGAAATTGCTATAAGGAATTGGGCAAGAAAACAAAACAAAATTGAGGTTGTTTGAAGAAATTGGCCAAGAAAACAAAACAAAATTGAAGTTGTTGGAAGAAATTGGCCTGGAAAGAAACTGAAGTTTTTTGAAGAAATTGGCCAAGAAAAAAATAACACCATCATTTAGGACATATTTTAATATATATTTTTCTGGCAGTAATGGTTTTGTCCAGATTGAAAGATGGACCAGGCAATTTAAGATATTTAACATTAAATTTTGTAAGGGTTATGGGATATTATACAAGAATGACTAATATTTAGCCAATAATTTTCACACACCTTATTTACACTGTAACAAACTCAATTCAAATACAGAAAGTTTGTGTCAAAATTGATTTAATAAAAGTGAAGTTTGGAACTCTAGTTGTAATGAATATTTTAGTATTTCAATGTTTAGAAAGCTATTATATCTAATTAAAACATTATGAATATTACATAGTGCTAAATGCAATGCAAGAATAACAAAATAGCAAAATGAAATGACTAATGAAATATATAGCATGTACCTAATTGTCCCTTTTAAGTGCTCCACTTAAAATGATTTGCTAAATTGTCCCTTATAAACTCCCCACTTAGAATGATTTGCCTCATTGTCCCTTATAAACGCCCATTTAAAATGATTTGCCTAATTGACCCTTATATAAACACCCAAAATAAAATGATTTGCCTAATTGTCTCTTATAAACTCCCAAATAAAATGATTTGCCTAATTGCCCCTTATAAACACCCAAAATATAATGATTTGCCTAATTGCCCCTTATAAACGCCCCACTTAAAATGATTTACCTAACTGTCCTATATAAATGCCCCACTTTTTAAATGATTTGATAGCTTCAAGAACCTGATGCTGTAACACTTGTACAATATAAAGGCGAAGATAGAAAAAAAAGATTGATGTAATTGATCACAATTTAGAAATTTCCAATTGGCAATATTGGCCCATTAATCTAGCGAACAAATCCAATTAAAGCAGACAAACAAGAAAACATAAAATGTAATTTCATTATGGATGAATTGAAAAGAGTGAATTGTATCAGGTAATCTAACTTAGCAGGATTATATAACTAGTGTTTAAAGGGAACACTCCTGTAAACTGTACATTATGAGTATATTGATTTACATTAGTATAACATCCAACTTTTGATGTAAGGATTACAAGCTTATTAGTCCCCTACCGGTTTACCGGAGGGGACTTTAGGTTTACCCTCCGTCCGTCTGTCCGTCCGTCTGTCCGTCAGTCCGTCCGTCCGCAAAACTGGATCCCGCGATAACTTGAAAAGTACTGAAAATATTTTTATGAAACTTGGTATATGGATAGATGGCAGTATGGAGATTATGCACGTCTTTTTCTTTTCTTCCTATGTTGAAAATTCTGGTTGCTATGGCAACAAATAGACTGAAAATATGGCAAATTTTACACATAAACTGGATCCAGTGATAACGCAAAAAGTACTGGAAATATTTTTATGAAATTTTACATATGGGTAGATGGCAGTCTTGAGATTATGCACGTCTTTTTCTTTTCTTTCTATGTTGAAAATTCTGGTTGCTATGGCAACAAATAGGCTGAAAATATGGCAAATTTTACACATAAACTGGATACAGTGATAACGCAAAAAGTACTGGAAATATTTTTATGAAACTTGACATAAGGGTAGATGGCCGTCATGAAATTATGCATGTTTTTTTCTTTTCTTCCTATGTTGAAAATTCTGGTTGCTATGGCAACACATAGACTGAAAATATGGCAAATTTTACACATAAACTGAATCCAGTGATAACTCAAAAAGTACTGGAAATATTTTGATGAAACTTGACATATGGGTAGATAGCAGTCTTGAGATTATCTGTTCTTCCTATTTTGAAAAAATATCAGTTGCCTTGGCAACAAATAGGCTTAAAACATGGCAAATATAACAATATTTGTGATTAGTCAAAAAGAGCTGAACATTTTTATGAAATTGCATCTTTAATTCAAGAGCAATCTCCTCTTTAAGAATTTTGCTTTTAAAATGGTATATTTTGGTAACAGGGATGTTTCAAATATTAACTTTAGAGTGTCTTTCAGTCCGTCTGTCTGTCTGTTCATAAAAACTGTATCCTGTGATCACTTTTAAAGAACTTTTCCAACAAATTTTTTTAAAATAGAGAAAAATTGAAACATTAGTGAATGGCCAATGGCCCTTCAGAATGTTGATGGGGTTCTAACCGGTAGGGGACTTATGGATTGCTTGCAATACTATGATAATTGCTTGTTTTATTAGCCCATTAAAAGAAATTGTAAAAACCAAATCATCCCGTGACTTAGTGACATTAATGAGCCGCGTCACGACAAAACCAACATAGTGGGTTTGCGACCAGCATGGATCCAGACCAGCCCATGCATCTGCACAGTCTGATCAGGATCCATGCTGTTCGCTTACCAACCCTATTTACAAGTAGAAAATCTGATAGCGAACAGCATGGATCCTGATCAGACTGCACGGATACGCAGGCTGGTCTGGATCCATTCTGGTCGCAAACGCACTATGTTGGTTTTGTCGTGACATGGCTCATTTGACTTTCACACATTATTTCTAACACTCACCGTCAATTGTTTTTCATCTTTGATCCAGAACCATGTTTGATAAGAAGTGGGTCACTGGCGGAGAAATTTAATAATCCAGGAAAGCTGGTTAGGTTAAGTGGACGGACTGATATGATCAAATTAAAAAAAAAAATGTGTTAGAATCTGTGTCAAAACCAATCAAAACTCGATTGTACCTGGAACATTAAAGTGAGAGAAAATTGATAAACATTAAAATGAGTTTGTCCTCCAGTGCTCGGTGATAATTATATCAACTGCTAATACAAATCAAAGCATGAAATGTCAATATGTAAACATGATAAAGAGCAATTAAGTTTTATGTGGTCCAATTAGGCTCTTGTTTGTAGTTTCTTGATTTTATGCCCTTTGAAGATACTGGAAAGCAACTGATGTGATGTAGAAGTTTTACATTTTGTTTCCCTAAAAGATTGGGATAGGTCAAGTTTTTTCTTGAATTGCATGTTGAGTGCAGCTCTCTAAATATGTTAATTCTTTTAAAAAGAGAAAGAGATACAACTATGCAAAAAAAAACACTGATTTTTTTCTTCTTGAGATAGGTCTTTTTATTTAAACCATTTCCCAGTTGCTCGAAATCCCTAGTTTATCCCCAAAAGTAAAAAATTATTAGAAAATCTCATAAAAACTTCTATCACGAGTCATTTTTTTCTGCCTTATCTTTCAAATGATATGTTTTCCAACTTGGCAAACTTTAAAAGAGACAAAAACACAAGATTACATAGAGAAACTACATAGAGAAATTTTGCTTTGGTATGAAAAATAATTCTTATCAAGTGTATTTCAACATGTTCCTCTACTTGACCTGTATATTTTCGCTGTAAGTGTTTTAAGAATCATGAGATAAACTATCACTTATTTGATTTTACTGACAGTGTTTTCTTATGTTAATCCTATAAAACACTTGAAAGTGAAATAAATTTTGCACAATATCCATTAAAATCAAAACTTGAATATATTTCGCTCAATTCCCAATAAAAGTCACATTTTAGTAACTAAGGATTATAATTATTTTACATACAATATCAGTATTTTTCCTCCTTTTTCTCAATCGAGCAGTGTACAAGGTCCATGTTTAAAAAAAATCAGAAACTGCAAGGTCAAGTCCATGTACAATTTTATATTTAAGAAAAACAAATTTTAAAAACTACTCACTACTTAGCTTATCCCATATATCCCTGTTGGAATTCTAATCCACATTTATCCAGTTCCCTAAATCTCTGAAAATATTCTTTTTATAACAAACACTCAAACAGACATAAGACCTATTGATTAAGATATTCATAGAACTTGATAGTGCCTTCCCCAGTTGCTACCATAAGAAGTTTATCCGGAGTCACAGAAATATATTTGATAATATCCTCTGTGAACAAAGATTTCTTCAGTTCACCTTTGTTAGTAAGAATGTCTATTTTTCCCATACGTTTATCAGCTACAAGAACATGACCTTGACTATCGGTACAGACAAGGTCAGGTCCATCATAGATCTCTGCCTCTTCGTCAGTATTTCCGTATTCAAACAACAATTCACCAGTGTTATCAAAGCCAGTAACATTATGGTTACCAGGGTCGGCGACGTAAAAGTTTCCTAACTTGTTATCCACAGCAATACTGTGAGGCTTTTCAAGGATGTACATTCCCAAGTCTTGATAATCTTCATTTGTTATTCTGCGCTTGAGCACACCCTGATGGTCATACAAACTTATGTTACCTCCTGCTTTTGAGGTCAATTTACCAAAGTTAGTTACATGTGAGTACCGATTGGATGCTACAATCAAATTTCCCAACTGATCGGAGGTAACGAAATTCAGTCCATAGTTTTCAATCTGCATATTGGCAAGAATTTTCCCTGAACCATCATTTTTCAGAACTCTGATTTTGTATTTGTTATCTCCCCTTGCAACTGTTAATGCCACTTTGCCGTCACTTGCAACAGAATGTATAGTCCAGCCAGCTTGCACTGGTACCTGACCGCGAATGATGCCCCTCTTTTCAAGCAGATACACAATTTGATAATTTCCTGAAGATGCTCCAACTATCATATCACCGTATTTGTTAATTCCAATCCCCTTGAGGCATTCTTGCTGAATTGTATGTGGCAGAGTTATTTCCCTTTTTGGGTTATCTAAAGTGAAAGTATTATCAGCCTCATATTCAGCCTCTTCAACCTCCTCACTGAATTTAACATTCCGAAGTGTTTCACTATTGTTACTAAGTGTCAGCATTTTAACATCACTTCCAGTTGTAGAACTAAGCTGATCACTTTCAGCTTCGTAATCTTGATTTGGTACTAAAATTTCATCAGTTTCTGCATTATCTAGAGGCTCACTTTCATGACCAGAATCAACATTCACTTGCTCAGTGTCTGTCTTGTTGTCGGTTTCTTCATTCTCTTCAATAGTTTTCAGTTCACCAAACATGTTACACACTGTTTCAATGGCAACATTGGGCTCTATCAACTTTATTTTCTGTATAGCCATTGAGTCTGTAAATAAAGGTTCCTCACAAAGTTCTCTTACACGTTTTCCTACTTTCTTTCTCATTAGAACTTTTTCCTCAAACGAACCGTAAGATAAAAGTTTCTCAGTAAAGTCGTTGACCCCATCTATTGCAGCTAGATGCATCTGAAGATCTTTCCTCCTCTCATGAATGTCGTCCAGATGTTGTGCATGTCTTCTATCAATCTCTTCTAATAGAACAGTCTCGTACTGGGCTATCAGATCACTTAGGTACTTGGTTCGCTTTTTCACAATTTTATGGAGGTCTTTCTGTTGTTCAATAGTGTTCTGTTCAGCTTTCTTAAGACTGATCATTGCTTCTTGCAGTTGTGTGGCATCGTTTTGTAATTCCTCCAGTGGCTGTTTTATCTTGTTCTGAAAGTTTTGCGCCACAGCGACCATTTCTGCGCACCTGTGCTCCTCGTGATACGAGAGGTGACAGTCGCCACACACAGCTATGTCACAGTCCACGCAGAACAAAGCACTTATATCTAGAGGGTCGTAATAGGAGCAGCAACGTGGGACAACATGGCCTGCTTTAGCAGATTCTTCATACTCTGTTCGTATATTGTGCTCTTCCATAGTTTCAAGCTGATGATCACTAGTGTCTGCTTGTTCTAGATGTAAGTCTGTACATTCCCTACACAGAAAATCCTCACAGTTTATACAGAATCCTTTTGCATCAATAAAATTCCCGCCATTTTTACAAATGGTGCATATTTTGTCCTTCTGCTGCGAGTCATTTGACGGACTGACTAGTCTCTGTGCAAGTATATTATCTGAGAGGTCAGTGGTTCCGTGTTCTTGACCAGTTGTTTCGGTACCGCAGATCGGGCACCAGTACGAGCCATTGTGGCCATGTTCCACCATGTATTTGTCAATACATTGCTGACAGAACGAATGGAAGCAGACGAGATATTTGGGTTGTTTGAATTCCTCCTCACACAGCTTACAACAAAGGAAGTCTCGTGGTATGACCTCACACTCACTCTGCACGTCCATCATGGCTGAAATATACAACAGAAATGTATTTATATAGCTACGGAATTAAATTTTTGTTTTGCTCGTCTATTTGCACCATCATTTACCAATGAGACTATCAGTGATACATACATGTATAATATATCTCAAATCTAGTTATAAATTTTACATGAAATATTGAAAATAAATATAAATATGTATAAATAAAGTATATGTTAGCTTTCCACAAGTGTTTCATAAATTATGTCAAACTTTAAAATCAAGTTTTAGTAAGTGCTTTATTCTCCATAGGATATTTTGAAAGTTGCACTAGATTGGATTTTGTTTGATTTGTATTATAAATGTTTAATGCACAAAATTATGATTTAAAATATATATGCATATGAAACCAACAAAAAATGTCAGAGTTATTGACCTTTTTATGCCACCGCAGCATCTGCGATGCGGTGGCATATAGCGATTCACCTGTGTGTGTGTGTGTTTGTTTGTTTGTTTGTTTGTGTGTGTGTGTGTTATATAGATTATAATTATAGTGAACTTCAAAAATCTTCTTGTGAAAAACCTCTGGTCCAATTTCAACCAAACTTGGCAGGATTGATCCTTGGGTGAAGGGCATCCAAAGTTGTTCAAAGAATTTCATTCCATGCAGAAATCTGGTTGCCATGGCAACCAAAAGGAATTATAAGAATAAATTTAAAAAATCTTCTTGTAAAGACCCAAAAGGCCTAGAGCTTAGATATTTTGCATAAAGCATTGTCTGGTAGACCTCTACCAAGAATTGTTCAAATTATAGCCCTGGGGTCAAAATCGGCCCCGCCCGGGGGTCATTGATTTTCACTATATGTACATATAGTAAAAACTTAAAATACCTTCTTGTAAAGACCCAAAAGGCCTAGAGCTTTGATATTTTGCATAAGGCATTGTCTGGTAGACCCTTACCAAGATTGTTCAAATGATAGCCCTGGGGTCAAAAATCGGCCCCGCCCGGGGGTCATTGATTTTCACTATATGTACATATAGTAAAAACTTAAAATACATTCTTGTAAAGACCCAAAAGGCCTAGACCTTAGATATTTTGCATAAGGCATTGTCTGGTAGAGTTCTACCCAGATTGTTCAAATGATAGCCCTGGGGTCAAAATCGGCCCCGCCCCGGGGTCATTGGTTTTCCTTATATGTATATAGTAAAAACTTATAGTAAAAACTTTAAAAAAAATTCTAGCAATTGACAAATGCTAGAAGTTAGATATTTTGCATGAAACATTGTGTAATGAACCTCTAGCAAGATTGTACAAATGCCCTGGGGTCAAAATTGGCCCCACCCCCAGGGGTCATTGATTTTCACTATGTACATATAGTAAAAAAAAACAACTTCTTGTCTGAAGGTACAAGGCTTAGAGATTTTATATTTGGTATGTAATATCATGGGTCCTCTACTAAAGTTGTTTTAATTATGCCCCTAGTGTTAAAATTGCCCTGCCCCAGAGGCGATAGTTTTCCTTATATGTATAAAGTCAAAACTTGAAAAACTTCTTCTCTGAATTGACAAAGGCTAGAGGTTAAATATATGGCATTAGACTTTGCGAAGTGAACCTCTACCAAGATTGTTCAAATTATAGCCCTTGGGTCAAAATTGGTTCCACCCCGGGGGTCATTGATTTTCATTATGTACATATAGTAAAAAAAAAAAAAAAATATTTTTGTCTGAAGAAACAAGGCATAGAGCTTTGATCTTTGCTATATAATATCATCTATAGGTCCTATACCAAAGTTGTTCAAATTTTTCCCTTGGTGCCAGTCAAAATTGGCCCTGCCCGGGGGCAGTGATTCTCATTATGTACACATAGTAAGAACAGAAAATAAAACAAATGTTTTCTGAATGGGAGAAAGCTACAGCTTAGATATTTGACTTGAAATGTTGTTTGGTGGACCTGTATCAAGATTGTTTTGAATTAAACCCTTGGGTCCAAATTTTGCCTTGCCCAAGGGGAAAGTGACCTACTTTCTTATCCTTTGATATACAGCAATGAAATTTTGACCATGTGCACAGTTTAATTGTAAAATTGAACTTTGATATCAGGTGACCTAGATTTTGATGATGTGACCGACTTTCTTGTCCTTTGATATACAGCTATGAAATTTGAACCATGTGCACAGATTAAGATGTAAAGTGAACTTTGATATCAGCTGACCTAGATTTTAACAAAGTGTCTTACTGTGTTGTCCATTGATATAGTCATGAAATTTAGGCTGTGTGAAAATATGACCTTCACCACCAATTGATATATTCCTACTCTGATCTTTTATTTGATTAACAATAGATTCAACCACTAATCTGATGATAAGAATTAGATAGGTCAGGGATCTATGCATTATGACAATCTTCAATTGTATAGAAACAAAAAATATCTGTTCCTACACTACTATTTAGTGTTGTATTAATGCGGTGGCATAGCATTTTTCTCAAATGCAATCTTGTTTTATCTGTACAAATGAAGATCATTCCAATTTGTCACCTCATTGCAATAACAGGTTACCTCCTAAAAAATTTAGAAGGACTTAACCCATTGCTGCACTAAAGTGATGATTTTTAAGAGAGGAATTATTCTTTTAAATGAATGTAAGCCATTGTGAGTATTAATAGAATTTGCCTGCAAGCTTTGAAAAATTGAGCTTGATTTTATTATTTTTGACCTATTGTACTCACACACATAATAGGAGGTCACTGTCCAAGGCCCATAACTCTAACACGGATTTTGATAGAATTATTATGGCCCTTTTTGAAGTTGAAAAATTCTACATTATGCAGGCTCTTGTTGTACTTTTAAGTGCAGAGAATAGCCGATGACAACTATTGTTTTACAGTTCATTACCTGATTTTCATCACGTGAATTTATGTTATTAACTCATTAATGGCAGCAAATTTGATATTTCAAGAGTAAAAAAAATCAAAAATCAATCAGTTAATATTGTAATAGTTTTGATGGCAAAGATACCCTATTACTATCAAAGTTTTCCTGATAATTATGTCATTTAGTCACAGTCAAATAAATTTCAATCCTGTAACAACACATACCTGTTCAAGGTCATTTATACATCAGTCAATAATATTATGTGCCCAAGAGATTCCAGTGTCAATATGTGGCATTAGTGAATCATTTATCAAAATTATCACATTGCCGAGTGGATCAAATCCAGTAACTTTAGAACATGTTTTGAATTTTCAATAGATTGTACTATTTAAGTAACTTCATGTAATGGTGAAGTTTCCTTCTCCATCAAATGCTCCAAAAATCCCAACTTTAGCGATGTATTTATCCAAAATTTGAATTTTTGTGGTTATAAAAAACAACTGCAGCAGCTTTACAATTTAACTGTTTACAATATAATAATTACAATTTATTAATTGCCAAGTGTTTTTACCTGATCATGACAAATAGTTACTCATCCATTTTTCTTGAAACTTTATAAAGAACTAATTAAAAGCACAAAAATATATTCCTACTTGATAATGTCTGAATAGTCCATGTTATAAGAGTGCCTTTTTTTTAAATGCACAATTTTTTGTATGTTTCCATGCTTCGCCCACGACTCTTTAAATTTTACCTATAGCATAAATAAAGCAAACTTTGCTAATCTGAAGTCCTTTTCATATTCACTCTCTACTCTATTCAATTTAACTATAAGTTCACAAATCAAATATTGACTAAAGGACTTTTAAATCGGGCGAGGTTGACACATTACTGCGTTAAGTTGACTTCTACGATATTGATAAATGTAGCACTCTGGCATCTGCTATTGAACGGAATGAAATTATGAATAGCAGAGAGCCAAAAGTAGATGTTAGTAAATTAAAGGTGGGTTTGCATATTGATATATAAGATATAAGTGTTGTTCAACATTTATCCTAAGTATAAAATATATTTATATTCTGACAGTGTTTAGAAAGAAAACAAGAAGGACTTATACTCCTTATTGTTTCTTAGCTTTGTTGTTTCTAAGATTTAGTTTGACATTTTGTGAAGAGTATAGTATTGAAATTTGGCTAATAAGACCAACAGTTGTTAAGGTTACTGGCAATAAGTGCTTTATTTTTGGCAATTCATCTTGGTCATAGACTGTTGGTTTTATGTCAGTTCATAAAAAGCATGGTACTTTAAAAGGGTGGTATTGTACCAACTCATAATAGAGTGGTATTTTTCTACCACCTAATTAAAGGGTTGTGTTCTACCAGCTTATTAAAGAGTGGTATTCTGCCTGGTCAAAAGAGGTTATATCCCATCATCTCATAAAAGAGTGGTATTTTACCAGCTCAAAAGAGAGGTATTCTACCAGCTCATAAAAGTGACATTGTACCAGCTCTTAAGTGGTATTTTACCAGCTCATAAGAGGATATTCTGCCAGCTCATAAGAGTGGTATTCTACCAGCTTATAAGAGAGATATTCTGCCAGCCAGAGTGGTATTTTACCAGCTTAATTAATAATGATTGGTAATCTACCAGCTCAAAAGAGTGGTATTTTCTCAGCCACAAAGATTGGTATTCTGCAAGTTCAATTAAGTGTGTTTTTTTACTAGTACAATGAAGTGAGGTACTATACCAGCTCAATAAAGAGTGGTACTTTACCAGCCCCTAAGAGTGATACTTTACCAGCTCATAAAAGAGAGGTATTCTACCAGCACAATAAAGGGTGCTATTCTACCAAGATGCCTGATGGTGTCTGAAAAATGTATTTATGGAAAGTAGTTGGGCTT